TTTCTAATTTGTGCCAGAGGTTAATTGTTAAATAAGGTCATTTAATTTCGGACGTTATGTATTTATATAGAGTAGAAAATTATATAGAATTATATTTTGCATAAAATTAAGAAAACGTCTCAGGCTACGCATGTAACCATGGTTCCCTGAGAAGGGGAACTAGACACTGGGTCCCCCAGTGGGTGCTATCGGGAATGCCTCCGGCATGAACAGTGTCTAAAGCATGAGTCTAAACATGACAATGAACATGACATTGGCAGGCGGCAGCCTATGACGTCACAACTGGTGCGGCTGAGAGTATAAAAGGGCACCTGTAAAATGCGTCACCCTCTTTCTTGTCTTCAGGAGACCGCTTGTTTCAGTGTGTGTCTAAACAGGCAAACTATGGCAAGCACTAGCTCCGCAAAATTTAGAAAGTGTGTTCTTTCTTTCATACTCTGGGCCTCACCAGTTGTGATGTCATAGGTTGCCGCCTGCCAATGTCAAGTTCATTGTCGTGTTTAGACTCATGCTTCAGACACCAGTCATGCCGGAAGCATTCCCCATAGTGCCCTCTGGGGAACGCAGCGTAGAGTTCCCATTTGAGAGGGAATTAAATCTATGGGGACCTCCCATAAGCATTAAGGGACCCCCCATAACACCCAAAAAATATATACTTGGTTTTTCAATAAAACTTTAACACTTAAAATGAAATTTCGATTGCTGTATTAAATTTAGACCTGCTTATGTTACATATTTTATTTTTACGCGTTTTTACAGCGTTGCTCATTATAACCAATCACACACGATTCTGTTGAGCTAAGGAATGCAGTAGCCAATCAGAGGCATTCAAACTAGTCATCGCTAAAACCCCAGAGTTTTGTTCAGACTGAAACTCGCGAATTCCCTCATCATAAGCAACAAATTGCAGATGTACGAACGATGTAAGTTAAAGATTCATTTATCATACCGTGTATGGGCAGCTTTATTGATTATAAGAGGAGTTATAGTGCTTAAACACTAGCTAGACTGAATGCTCATTTAGAGTGTGTTCTTTCACTGCATGATTCAGTATAATAAAATGCAGATATGGGGCAGAAAATGTATACATTTATATCATTTCATATAGTTGATCAATATCACACCAAGAGTGACATTTTTTTCTCGCAAAAATCACAAATGTGATATTGATTTTATACAACAGTTCAATAATCAAGAAGTTAATATTAAGAGACTTACGTTTTAGACACCACATTGACTATTTTTTCCTCTATTTCGCCAACAAAAATGGTTCCAAACACAGCCACAGCACTGTTTTGCATCTCTGAAAAACATGACAGTCTGTCCATGGCAATCCTGAAGCTCAACACACTCAGCAAAATATCATCTGATTATCAATCATTATCGATAAAATCCCAGAAAATACAGATATATCATTTGTTGTCAACATCGCACACACCTAGGCTAGATTTTTAATTCTTCTTTGCTTAGTGATTGTTTGGTACACCTGACTGTAAGTAACTGTTGTATATGGTATAAATATATTGTTTGATACAGTGTATGTTGCTTGTACATATCATATATAGTCTGTATATAGTCTGTATTGTTTTCGAACATTTATGCTTGTATTATATTCATTTTTAACAACACATCAAAAGTACCATGGTACTTTACCATTGTATTTTGGACACTGTACAGTAAATACCACGGCATATTTAAAGTACCAAGTATTACCATGTGATGGTACCATAACTTTACCATCCGCCACATTAGCCTACTTTTTTGTAAGGGTATAGTACCAAATGGAATGTTTTTGGGTATGGGACCCTACATGCACTATGGTATATCCATGTAAAAACCATGGTACATTAATTTCCATATTACCATCTGATGCCATCATCACTGTACTATGGTACTGCCACAGTATTTTAGACATAGCCTATACTTTTGAGATTTATTCGTCAATTATTCATAGACTTTGATGCAGTGGCGTAGCAAGTCAGCCCCGGGCCCATATGCAAAAACATTTGTACGGGCCCCTCGAACGTTATGGGCTTCAACTCGGTTAACTTACCTTGGGCCCTATTGTTGATTTTCTGAAGTAAATAACATTACGTGAATCGTGACTATTCACAAGCTGTTTTACGTTATAGGCTAAATGCTTGGAAATTATATTTAAAATGTTCAAGTCCATTCATTATTTGTAGCACGCAAGCCACCCAATAATCGCAGCTTTGTGCTTTGTTACAACAAAGTCTCAGCCTTCTGTTAATTTTATGATAAAATACAAACAATAAATGTGTTTTTACGCTCTTTAATCTGTAGTGAGATCATTTGCATCAGTTCAAGCGGCATATGAATCAATGATATTTTCCTCTTTAATATTTGCAGCACGAAATAAACATGAAAATTTGAATGCATGAAAAAAAATCAGAACAATTTAATACAAACAAATGTCTCGTGAAATCGATCAATCAGAGTTTTAAAAAATGTCAATAAGTCTACATTTTATTGCTGTTTTTTTATGTTAAATGTGAAGAATGACGGATGCCACAGACTTTTTTTTCTTTTTCTTTTTTTTGGCAGAGTAGCCTATAGGCGGAATTTTCACATTAACTTCACGCAATATAACATGATTTTATTATGTAATTTTGACTTAATTCTTAAAATATTATGACGTTAATCGTATTTATTTAGGCTAGTTATTTTTCAACGTGGCACTAAAATGCTGTCGTAGGCTATTTGAAGCTACTGAATGCAAACCCAAAAAACAAACAAAATAAATAAAAAAACTAACAAAAAAGTAAAAAATAGTAAGGGGATATTTAAATTTTTTGTTAATAAACTAGTGTTTTCTGAGTCAGTGTCACAAATATGAATTTGACAAACCTGACTCGCCATCTCCTCATTGGACGTGCCTTTAGAGAGAAATGCATCTTTACGGATTACATAATGAAAGAGTTTTTGTTTTTTGATTTGAATTATTTCGTTTTAAAATAGTAATTTAAAGCATTATATAGATACTGTATATTTATCATGTCGTTAAGGCAAGTATTAGCTGAGTTTCAGTTCATCATTGTGAGGCGCTCCTGCTCAAGACAGAGACAACAGAAAGCGCATCAGAAAGCGTTTGTTTTCCTTATTTTACAAAAGCACAAGGTTTTGTTGATATTGTGAGAGCACACAAATAAAAGTAGACTTTGCAGTTCCCGAATGAGGTATAGGCCTACTCTTACCTTTATGAGCAAAAATGACGGCATATATATTTTTTTAAGATTCCACTGTTATTAAAAAAAAATGCAAGTTATCGCGCTGGCGCCTCCCATATCCTGCCAAGCGCGATTCAGCTTCCACTCTCCGCACAAACGATTGGATATGCGCATAACAGCGCACATTTATCTAGGTTAAATGTTTAAATTAATACTGTGAAATGCACAAAGTGTTATATTATTTTAGGCAAGTCGTCGTGTTGATTTGAGAAGGCTAAATTGATCAAACATATATTCAACTCACTGTCTGCCGCTGGCCGCTTGGTCGTTCCTTTAAAAAACAAAAACCTGAATTTAACAAACCTAAAATATTCCGAACATTTCCAACTATTTTAATGGCTGCAGCAGCAGCTGTGTAATGGGGAAGAGAGAGAGAAAGAAAAAAGACTCGGGCTGAGAATTCTGATAAGCTGTCAGACAATGGAAATTGCAGAGAAATTCATTTCCTCGTTTCAATTAAAAGTTCCCCTCGGCTCGGCGGGCCCCCAATCTACCCGGGCCCATATGCACCTGCATACCCTGCTGCACACATAGGCGGAGCGTGTGTAAGGCTGGGGAAGGCTTAGCCTTTCCCCGGCCACGGGGACTTGGGGCAAAAATGCCACTAAATTGGACAAAAATGCCCCTGCACAAACAAATTAAATCTATTACGTCTGTTGCTAACAAAGTGAATATGAATAGACAGTGTCGATTGCGGCATTAAATTAAGATCTGCTCATGTTGCACCATATTTAATTTTAGGCGATTTTACAGTGTTGTGCATTTTAACCAATCACACACATATCTGTTGAGTTTAGGAATGCAATGGCCAATCAGAAGCGTTCAATGAGTCATCGTTGAAATAGCGCTTCGCTGACTGAATTCTGGACTCTTGCGAATTCTCTCATCATAAACAACAAAGCGCAGATGGACGTACAATGTAAGTAAGAGATTCATTTAACAGTGTATACAGCTTCAGTGTTTATAACGATAGTTTTGTTTTTGAGAGTGCTTAAATTCGCGATAGATCGATGTTCGTGATAATGTCACTTCCTATATATAATTTATTCGCTGTTTGAATAACAGTGGAAAGGAAACATTATATAATTATAAATTTCTAATGTTTTTATTAAATTGTAATCACGTTAAATACAAATTCAGTCCTATTAAACTTTTTTTTTTTTGCCTACATGATGTTTAATAAATTTGGCTGCTTTTAGCCTTAGGCCTACCCTGGAGTTGGTTCACCCTCCGCCTATGCACGGTGAGAGTGATTTCACCAAGTACATGTTCCTGGATCAACATCCTTGTTGATCCTGGAACATCATTCCAATCAACCAATCAGAATTGAGAGATAACTTTTCAGGAAATGTCAGTTTTAGGCTTACAATCAGGATTAGGTGCTTCTACACCCTTGTTAATCAGCTATCATTTCCCTCTGATTTTAGGAATAAATTATGGGTAAGGTTAGGTTTAGGGGTAGGGATTGGGTTAAGTCTGTATTCTTGGACAGTAATGTTGATCCAGGATCAACAAAAGATGTTGATCCAGGAACATGTCTTACTTGGCAAAATCACAACGACCGCCTATGCACCCAGACGCCACTGCTTTGATGGATGCATAGAATTCAGTGACTTCCAATCACCTTAGTCACCTGCTACGTTCCAGATCTGACGGACAGAAAGACCTGCCAAACCAGAGCAGAGTTTGAAAGCAACTCGCGCGTGTGTGTGTGTGTGTGTGTGTGTGTGTGCGTGACGTCACCGCCCAACGTCAGCACCTTGCGGAAATACCGAGAGAGAGAGAGCAGGTCGATCGGAACCTGTACGTTACTCGGGATGTTTTCACACTAGAATAGAGACGTTCAAATCCAAATTAACGCTCTATTATCTAGTTGCGCCATCAGTTGAGTTAGTGCACTTGTTCTCCCATCCGGTGCCGGTTCCGGTTAATAGGCGCAACAGAAAAAGAGGGACAGAATGTCCCTGTTCCAGTCAGCGCTCGATTTCCTGGCCGGGCCCGGCGGATCCGGTGCCGCCGCCAGCCGGGATCAGAACGACTTCGTCGGGCAGGTGGTAGAGCTCGGCGATCTGAAGCTCCGGATCAAACGAATCATCGCGGAAGGTAAAAGATCCATTCAAAATAGCATAAGGCTAGTCATGCTAACCCCTGCGTATGATACCAACATGTATTTTATTTAAAACAGCTCTAAATTTGACGGTAAAATGTCCGTAATATATTCTCATTCACATATATAAACACTAGGTTTAGTATATATGTGAATATTTGTGATTATAGTTTAATGACAATGGACTTAAACTAGCTGGCTAAGTTGTTAGCAAGTCACTTGGCTATGATACACCTGACATGAACTCATATATTTTAAATGTTCATCTGTATGTTCTCGAGGCATTCAGGTATATGTATGTATGTATATGTATATTGTTATATTCCGTGACTGAATATGAATAGTCACGTTAATATAGTTCATATTCCATAAGTTCATCTGTATGTTAGAACTGATCTTAATGTATTCAAATGCGCTTGTGTACAGAATGTATTCATACACCATGGTATTTACATGGTATGTGTAAAAAAACAAACAAAAAAACATGATGGTACCGGTACCAGGGGCCCGTTCTTCGTACGTCGCTAACTCAGTTAGCTGGATTTGATTGTTGATGATTTGGCATGATCTTGGATTGTTTGGTTCTTCAAAGCTCATCCTGCACTTGTTGTCATAGCAACAGGTCTGTAAGATTAAACCTGCTCCCGAGCAGGTTTATTTAATGTAAACAGGATTAGATTGCATCTTTTTAAGTGGAATTGATATTTAAAGTCTATCCCAGCCATTGATACTCTATTACAAGAGTACCCTACTAATCTGGGGACAATAAATTAAATTAACATTCATTTAAAAAAAAATTTGAAAATAATATTATAATGTTGTGTAATCTATAATACTATAGACACAGCCAGTTAAAGCTGTCACATAACAAATCTGCTTCAAAGATAAAATTACATGAATTGCTAATTACAACATTGAAATAAAAAATATAAAGCCTGTACAAATACTAGAAATCGTGAATATAAATAATTGGGAATCATGTAGCCTAAAAAATTAATAAATAAATAAAATAAAATAAAAGCAGTGCACATTTCATTGATCTATTATAACATTTATGTAGTTTTGTTTACTTGGCTGTTTCCTTATAAAGGTCAAGAAATTTGTTAAGTTTTTTTTCGTCAGGTGTCTTTTTTAATTATATGTTGTCATTACGTTGCTGTCTTGCCGCCAGCCAATCACTGCATTGCTGATCGTGGTTTCTAGTATCGATACTTCTGCCCTTTACAGGGAACACGAGAAACGCGCAGTAATCTTAGACAACTTAATCCAGATATTTTAATCAAATCCGTAAATTAATTTGAAGAACCAAATTAGCCAGAGATCAGTTATCACGATTAGAAGATCTGTCATCTTTCAAATCATCTCAGATGTATCAAGCGAGGTATGAAGAACGGACCCCAGAACCACTGGTACCACTGGTATGTTGTTTAATTCCTTATAAAATGTACTGTGGTAGTACCATGGTATCACATATTTATGGAATTTATGGAAGCCCATGGAATAAAAATATAAAAGTAATTGTGAATTTTATTTCAAAATTCTGACGTTGTGTCAAAAAAGCCAGAATTCTGAGTTTCTAACTCACAGTTCTGACCTTTTTTTTCTCTGAATTCTGAGTTTACATCTTGCAATTGTTTCCACCACAAAATAATAAAAAAAAAAATTGTGTGATACTCAGAATTATGAGGAAAAAAGTCAGAATTGTGAGATTAAAAAATTGCCATAACCTTTTTTTTTTTATTCCATATTAGAAATGGGCTTCCATACATATTAACGCTAATTAGTACTGTAAATTGTCATATTATTATAATCACATATTAGTATTGTAGCAATTTACAATAGTACTGAAACTGCATCATTACTCCAGTCTTCAGTGTCACATGATCCTTCAGAAATCATTCTAATATGCTGATTTGCTGCTCAAGAAATATTTCTTATCATTATCAATGTTGATAACAGTTACGTTGTTTAATATTTTTGTGGAATCCAGAATTCTTTGATTCTTGCAAATAGCTGTACTAGTGCTGGGCGGTATACCGGTTCATACCGAATACCGGTGTTTATTTTTGTTATGATATGCATTTTTTAAATACCACAATACCAGTGTATGTCGCTTAAACAACGTTCAGAACACGACACTGTTTGAAAGGGGTCCCTTTTCACTGTTGCACTGTGGTGAGGGAACAGCTGTATGTGTTACTAAGCGTGAAAGTTCCGAAACTGAAGCTGTAGAACTAATAGAACGTGATGACACAGAAGAACTCATCCACAATATCCACATTGACCGCCACAAATATCCACCGCCCCCTGCCATCAGCT